GGTGACAATCACGCACAAGCAAGGCACACGTATGGAAACAACAGTAACCAGTGTGTGCGATCCTATTTGATACTATATCTATAGTAACAATAGTAAAGCAACAAACTAAGAAATAAGCACAAAATAGTAATGAAAATTATCATTATAATTATTATTTTAAGTGGGGGGGGGGATTCTGATATAACGGACGGCATACTCTCACAGTGTTGAGGGGTTGAAGTTCTAAATCCCCGCGTATTTTTTGCGACTCCTGCGCGGTCGAGTTTTTTTCGGTCGTATTTTTTCCAGAAACAAAACAAAAACAAGCAAAAACAAAAACAAAAACAATAACGTGCTTTCACTATTTTCATTAAGTCGTTGTGGATTTTCCCTCCGAGCAGTTTGGGGATGTCTACTGGTGTACCCTGCTTGTTCAGCCAAGTGTAGTCGACTGCGTGAATCGCCAGAATCATTCGGTGGGGGTCGGCTGGGTTGCAAGATTGCTTGCATGAAATTGTCGCCAACATCCCTCATGCTTATTCCGTTAACCATTCGAGAGGGGGCTAAAAGCCAAAACGCAAAACTGGCTTTTCGTACCCATATTGGCGTGACTGTCTTCGCCCGCGCTGTTCTTTTTTTTTATCGCTTTTAGCGAGCGGTAGATGGAAGTAAAAACAAAACTCTGATTATCAAGTGTGAGAGTTTAAGGGCTCAGTTCAAGTTTTTACCAATGAATCTTGGGTACAACACGAGGCTATAAATTGTCGTCGTCTTAAGGCACGTAACTAGTATGTTACTAGAAGGTGCCGAGCCTCAGAAACCGTTGGGAATAAAACCTTTCTGAAGTCGGTAGAGGAAACCGGTGACAATCACGCACAAGCAAGGCACACGTATGGAAACAACAGTAACAATTGTGTGCGGTCCTATTTGATACTATATCTATAGTAAGAATAATAAAGCAACAAACTAAGAAATAAGCACAAAATGGTAATGATTTTTTTTTTTTAAGTGGGGGGACGGCGTACTCTCACAGTGTTGAGGGGTTGAAGTTCTAAATCCCCGCGTATTTTTTGCGACTCCTGCGCGGTCGAGTTTTTTTCGGTCGTATTTTTTTCCAGAAACAAAAAAAAAAACAAGCAAAAACAAAAACAAAAACAATAACGTGCTTTCACTATTTTCATTAAGTCGTTGTGGATTTTCCCTCCGAGCAGTTTGGGGATGTCTACTGGTGTACCCTGCTTGTTCAGCCAAGTGTAGTCGACTGCGTGAATCGCCAGAATCATTCGGTGGGGGTCGGCTGGGTTGCAAGATTGCTTGCATGAAATTGTCGCCAACATCCCTCATGCTTATTCCGTTAACCATTCGAGAGGGGGCTAAAAGCCAAAACGCAAAACTGGCTTTTCGTACCCATATTGGCGTGACTGTCTTCGCCCGCGCTGTTCTTTTTTTTTATCGCTTTTAGCGAGCGGTAGATGGAAGTAAAAACAAAACTCTGATTATCAAGTGTGAGAGTTTAAGGGCTCAGTTCAAGTTTTTACCAATGAATCTTGGGTACAACACGAGGCTATAAATAGTCGTCGTCTTAAGGCACGTAACTAGTATGTTACTAGAAGGTGCCGAGCCTCAGAAACCGTTGGGAATAAAACCTTTCTGAAGTCGGTAGAGGAAACCGGTGACAATCACGCACAAGCAAGGCACACGTATGGAAACAACAGTAACAATTGTGTGCGGTCCTATTTGATAATATATCTATAGTAAGAATGGTAAAGCAACAAACTAAGAAATAAGCACAAAATGATAATGATTTCTTTTTTTTTTTTAAGTGGGGGGACGGCGTACTCTCACAGTGTTGAGGGGTTGAAGTTTTAAATCCCCGCGTATTTTTTGCGACTCCTGCGCGGTCGAGTTTTTTTCGGTCGCATTTTTTCCCAGAAACAAAAAAAAAACAAGCAGAAACAAAAACAAAAACAATAACGTGCTTTCATTATTTTCATTAAGTCGTTGTGGATTTTCCCTCCGAGCAGTTTGGGGATGTCTACTGGTGTACCCTGCTTATTCAGCCGAGTGTAGTCGACTGCATGAATCGCCACAATCATTCGGTGGGGGTCGGCTGGGTTGTGTGAGACATGAGTCTCGTTAGTAAGGGCCTTTTTATTAAAACCTAACATTTCTTTGCTTTCCATATTCCTGGACCGATCCAAGCAATCACCAAGTATGTAGTTTCTGACACAGAAAAATCGAAGCCACGGCCAACTCGAATCTCACGCGTACACCACCACACCATGAATCCTATTAGTCTTAATATGCACTAAACTGGCTATTAACAACCTTAATAGACACTAAAACTCTCTCCTCGGGGTCATCTCCTATCCCAGGGTCGGAGCGTGTAGAGAGAGATTTGTTGTGACGGCTAAGGTGCAGAAGCAGTTGTCGTTCCTTCGTGTTGTCAAGACGGTAACCTATGGCAGCGTACTTGGAGCAGGCGTAGGGAAAATCTTTGCTCAAGTTGTATTTAGAAAATAAGCAAGAACACAAAGATATACTAGCTTTAATATAGTACTCTAGCTTATTCTAGTCTTCAACTTTACAGCCTTGATTCTCGTAGCGCGATCACTATCGCGTTTCCCTCCCTTTATATTTTGTAACTCGGCGGGCTCCCAATTCGCCAATGAAACAATTCAAACTTTCTGCGTGAACTCGAGGAAATGACAAACCGCGATACTTTCTTGTCTCCAATTCCAACGGGCAGTGGTTTTCCCACAGCCCCTGCCACGCGATCGCGCCCGATTCCCGCGGTCAGTTTTCCCCATCAACACCACATTAAGTACAGTTTCTTTGTTTTCGTGGGCAGGCTCAAATTTCACGTATATGTTCAGCGGCAACTGCAATCATAATGCTGCACTAGAAATATCTTGCTTGTTCACGCGTGCACGATTCTCCTCAAGTTTCAGTCAACACCCCTCAATGTGAGGGTTCCATTCAATAAGAGCAAGCCACGTTGGACTAAAATTGGCGGGACAAGCACCGTTGCATGCACGCGAACAACGGTCGGTCACTTCATTGTCCTTGCGTCACGTCGACTTCCCCCCGTCAACGTCTCGTGAGCGCTCAGTCACCATTCCGCCGTGGATCTCTCGTAAACCCACGGGTTGTGGCATCTACGAGGCTCCACCATTGTTTCTCTAATTTTCAGCTCCACTAGTCAGCTAGCATAGCAAATTCCTGTCCACCCTTTCCAAGTGTTCCGCCCTTGACAAATTCATCTACTGGTTAGTAGGTGACCACACGATGACGCCTCCTAGACAGTCGCAACGCCTTATGGGCCATAAAACAGAGGGCCAACAAATAGTTAGTAATCCGCCCGCCGTCATACGAGGGAGACGAACAACCAGGGGCAAGCAGGATGCGAGCGAGAGTGTGCCGGCTCCGAGCCCTGAATTTAGGGTCCCGGTTAAAGTAGAAGGCGTGGAAGTGCTCCCTGAGCCCGACGACAGAATATCTAAGTTCGCAAAGGGTGTCAGAGTTCCACAATGCGTGACCGATAAGAGTGCCCATTTCCCATCTCCAGATATAAAGAATCATCTTGGCCAGAGAGCGAAGGTGACAATTATGGATGCTCTTCACATACAGGATGGGGAGGAGCTGACAACCTCAACTATCGACTTTCACAACGTGGAAGTCTGGTTATTTTTGTCGCTTTTATTCCTTACTCATCGTCGTCATGTTAATGGTCTGTCGTGTTCGTAACGTTTTAGGGTGTTAAGCCTTGTTCACAGGCAGCTTGATGACGGAAAAACGTGGTTGGCGCTTGACACTCTCGCCTACCAAACCGTCACGGGGGAACAGGAGCTTGCATGCGGAGTCGAGTGCAAACTTTTGTTCGAGCACGACTACGTTTGCATCGTGGTTTTCACCAAGTATGTCAGACCTCGATTTATAAAGCAGCATGACAGCGATCAGGTTTAATGTTCAGCGATGTATCTATCTGTCGTTGTGAGCATGACTTGACTTGCGCTGGTTTGGTTCTCGGCAGAGTTCCAGTACATTATTTCAGCCTTGTCGTTGTTAGGAACCCCGGTCTGCTGCTGCTAAGCAAGGAGGAATACCACGCCAGGACGCCACAAGAACCAGTACACGCTGTTCTATACGACTCCGCACGCGTCCACTTCAACATGTGCGAAGCCGTGTTCAGGGACGTCAACGAGTGAGTTCAGAGTTTCGCGTCATCTTTGGGGGGGCTATCTTACATCTTTTGTGCTCGAGTTTGACCTTGGTTGTATAATCGTTTTCCTCGTGATCCATCTGCAGGCTTCTTGGGCGGGCCCTTAAAAAAGCCTATCCAGATCTGCCAAGGCTAGAAGTGTCAGAGAGGCTCACACGCGTGACCAGCCGAGCGCTTAAGGTGAGTATGCTATTTTGGTGTTTGGGGTCCCGGTGCATGTAACAACCACAACACGGTCTATCATCTTTGGCCTGACTATGTTTTCCCTTGTTGTGCTCTTCTTTATTGCGGTACTTCGAGGTACCCCAGGAAGAGAACGACGTGGACTGTGGTGTTTACGTCTGCATGTTCATCAAGGAGCTCGTACTCCGCTGCTTCCGATTCATGGAGGAATGGATCGCCCATCCCCGTTACAGTGCCGCTCACTGCAGGCGCGAAATCCGTGCTCAGATGTGCAAGGCCGGCGAACGCACTCTGCTCGCATTGCTGACAATCAAGGGGGCCGATATTCCACCACAAAGTCAGCAGCTAGGGGGGGATGACAGTGACAGCGATGCCGTTGTCGAGGTCGAAGGGGAGCCTAACCTTAAAGATGTAGCGGCAGAGCAGTGTACGCATGCTGCACAGATCAAGAACCTGTTTGAAGACGTTGAGGTCCTGAAGGACGTTGTTTTCAAGGGTGGGGAGGGACTCGTCAAAGTGACAACGACTGTGTCAGCAATATTCACCGCACTTCAGCAGATCGCTACCAAGATAGGGTTCAAGCTGCCGATGGCTGCCCTGGAGGGTTTGAACATGCATGAAGCCGCCGACTCCACCCGCTGCAGCCCCACCGCCGGCTCGTACGGTTGGAGCATCAGCACCAGCAGCTGAGGCAACGAGAGGTGCTCCCCACCCTTCTGCGGGTGGTCCGTCCCATGCGTGTCTACCTATTCCCGCAATGAATCCAGGCGATGTGCAAGTCCAAGGAGCCCCATCCGGTGCACACACGTCTGCGGTGGGTCACACTGGTTTAGCAGCCAGCGCTTCCTCCTTCGCAGCCGCTCGTCCCGTTGCTGCAGCATGTGTTTCAAGGGTAGCAGCGGGTCAGCATGGTGCATCTGCTGGTGCTCCGCCAACTGGAGCGGGTCAGCATGGTGCATCTGCTGGTGCTCCTCCAGATGGAGCGGGTCAGCCAGGTGCCTCTGCCGGTGCTCCTCCAGCTGGAGAGGCACAGTCAGGTGCGGCAGCCGGAATTCCAACATCAGCAGTGTGTCAGACAGGTGCAGCAGCCGGTGATCCTACAGCAGCGGCGGGACAGACAGGTGCAGCAGCCGGTGTTCCGACAGCAGCAGCGGGACAGATAGGTGCAGCAGCCGGTGTTCCGTCAGCAGCGGCGGGGCAGACAGGTGCACCAGCCGGTTTTCCAACAGCAGCGGTGGGTCAGACATGTGCAGCAGCCGGTGATCCTACAGCAGCGGCGGGACAGACGGGTGCACCAGCCGGTGTTGCTACAGCAGCGGCGGGACAGACAGGTGCAGCAGCCGGTGTTGCTACAGCAGCGGTGGGACAGACAGGTGCAGCAGCCGGTGTTGCTACAGCAGCGGTGGGTCAGACAGGTGCAGCAGCCGGTGTTCCTTCAGCTACGTCGGGACAGACAGGTGCACCAGCCGGTGTTCCCGCAGCAGCGACGGGTCATACAGGTGCAGCAGCAGGTGTCCCTTCAGCAACAGCAGGTCCTCCAGGTGCTGCAGCCGTTGCTCCAACGACAACGCAGGCGCTGCCAGGCGCGACCGCGTCGGATTCAATCGCATATGCAGGTCAGAAAGGGCCCTCAACGAGCGCTACACACGAGAAGATATCGGATGTGGCCAAGACAACAACAGAAGTGCATCACCTGGGATTGCGAGTCCCCAGTGCCGCAATTGTGCCTCATCATGCTTCTGTTGCACCGCCCGGTTCGAATGTGTTGGCCCCTGGACTAGAGGCACGGGTTCAAGCTGCCACGGGCCGGCCTATCAACGCTCCAGTGGTTCAGCCAAGAAACGATGTCTGGGATATCGGGGGACCGCACACTAAACTCACCATATTTCACCCAGGTGTGCTGGTCCAGGGTGCTGTAGTTTCGGAAGCGGCCGAGGACACTGCAAGGGCGGCCGTTGTTCAAACGGGTTCCTCTGCATGGTCCTCATGTGAACATTTTTTTCCCCCCTTTGCCTTTCCACCAGGGGTGCATATCCAGGGATCTCTTGCACCAGGCGCGGTGGGGTTTCCTCCACATCCGCCGCGCCATCAGGGCCGATTGGCCATGCTCTGCAACCGCCCAACGTTTTTATCCTCGGATCTGGACAGCCGCACGCATCCGTGCAAGTGTCATTGTCGTCGCATCGCCCACCGTTGCCTGATTCTGCTGCTTTCCTCGTGTCTGATGAGGCGCTCGACAATGTCAGCGGCCTACCGGGGCACACAGCCGCCTCCCGTGGCCGGACTCTATCGAGCATGCTCACCGGTTTCGTGCAGGGGTCCCAACCATTACTGCCCTCCCCAGCTGCCTCCACATCCATCATGCCCTCGACCCAGGGAGGCGAGAACGGGGAGGAGGGCGCCTCAAGGGGGTTCACGGGCGTCACAAAGAAGCAGGACAAGGACGAATGGATCGCTAGGATCGTCCTGGACCGCACATCACAGTCGCTGATTGTCATCAACAGCCATTTTGGATCCGAGGTCGAAGCGGCAAGGTCAATAGCAGCAGCGTCGCATGTGATGTTCATTCACAATCCAATGCGTGGCGATCTCATACCCTTGACTGCCAACGACAAGGCAAAGATTCGTGGGTGTACAACTCAACAGTGTGAGATTATGGTCCGAATAAAGTTCTGGCACATGTGGGAGGAGTGGAGGGTGCATTGGCCGGCAGCGAAGGCAAAGTGGGACGAGAAAATGCGCAGGGCAGATCGTAAGAGAGCGGCACTTCAAGATAGCTTGGGCGAGACTGATGATCGGCCTGACAAAATTGCTAGAACTAGAGGTGAAGCTAGTGCAGGGGCGGAGATTGCAAATAAACAAGCGGAGGGTGCGGGATCTAAGGCTGCATAGTGCAAGGCTTGATGACTGGATGTGGGTGTGTTTTGGGACCCTTTGCCGCCTTCTTTGTGCTTTAGGCTTTAGAACCTCATGGTGGAACCTGTGTGTATTTCATTACTAATATCGATAACATCGTCCACAGCTTGAATAGATTGGCATAATGCCCGCTCACTCCTACTCATGCTTCTTTAGAAAATATGAATTCTGTATCAAGGGCTGGAATCAATGTCGGGGTTTTAAAATCGGCACGTAATAGCCAAGCGCCTATAAAGGACACGTTAAAGCCTTGTGAATGCTCCGTGTACATAAGGGCGTGCCAAAAAAAAACCTCCGAGTGCGGTTTAAAAAGGTTAAGACTTCTTCTAAAGTGGTCGAATTCGAACCTCACATGGTTGCGAAGGGTTTCCATGGAAGACGTACATTTTCGGACACGCCCTAACAGTGCCAGCTACTACGCACCAGTGAATGTCAAGTGTCGTCGTCGGGAAACCCTGGTCACGAGGGTTTGACGAGTAACTATTGCGTCACAAACAAGGATTGCAACACTTAGGACAATCCAACGCGTCAACAGTGTCCACTTCGCAAACACCCAGTGAAACATCCGTGACCTCTCCATGGTTTCATGGTGCGTGACTCGTAAAATGGTTGTGAATGTCAACGCCACACGACTAAATCAGGCCGTACCAACCACCGAGGCGGACCCGTTACCCGGTACATTAAACCGTCTCGATCGTAAACCAATACATCACTCATTATTATATTAGTGTGAACAAACGAATTTTAGTAATCACTTGGTGAAGCAATGGGGTCGTTGTGACTGTTACGAAAAGTCAAAAGCTATTGTGCACTCTGTTACGAATAGTGAAATGTGATGGTGCACTCCTAACCGCAGTATAGGGAATCACGCAGTATCGAGAACAAATACGAGGAGTCAAAATTGGCTCGAAGCGACACAGACGGTTGGAATGAATCTGGACCGTCAGAGGCAAACGGCATCAAGCAGCAAAGGGGCGAGGGAATTGGCGGGAACAGTTTCGTAACTGTACGCGCCGCACGGTTGGTATGAATTCGAATAAAGGAATGTACCCCTTAGAGTACATGGTTAGCTAGGACGTTTCTAATTCCCCTGTACTACTTTTTATACCCTTGTATTTGCATATTTTAACCATCTCAAGCATTTAACATTCACTCTCCTATTGAGGTCAAGGGGTTATCACTACCAACCACTCAAGCGAACCTTCCCGAGGTGATCCTAGGGTCGATCCCTTTCTGATCGCAACACACTCCTAATCGCAACTAAGTGAAGCACGCAGTATCGAGAATGAATGCGAGGAGTCAGAGTTGACCCGACGCGACACAGACCGTTAGAAAGGATCTGGACCGTCGGAGCATACGGCATCGGGCAGCTGCAGGGAAGAGGGATTTGGCGGGAACTGTTTCAGTAACTGTACGCGCCGGACAGTTGTGTATGAATTTCAATAAGGGAAACCCACCCTTTAGGACACATGGCTTGCTAGGTCGATTCAAATTCCCCTGACATGTTGCATATGAGTGGCCGACAGTTCCCTGATGGCTATCTCAGTATGACCACCCATCCATATATTGTTGACGAGTGTGTGGTTTACATGTGCAGGCCAGCCAAGTACCTCAACAGGACTACACCGTTGACTCGGGCGTATTCGTGTGCTTGTTCTTGTATGAACTGGTCGCCCGGTCTTTTAGGAACTTAGGGAACGTTCCTGTGGAGACACTTGTGTCTCAATCCTTTTGTGACGCGTAAAAACAGCTTAAAACGTACAATGTCACAAACGCGAGTCGCCCTTGTGCGACTTTTACTGTATTTTTCATTTTTCAGCGTGAAACGCGCTGATGTCGCGGACGAGTTGCATATTGACCCGTCACTGTCAACAACTCTGTACGCGGTTCGAAATGTCAATGCACCTGGACACCCCACGGTAAAAATCTCGCGCAGGAAAAAGTTCCGCTCGTCAAAACCCCACCCGAACCAGACAGTTGAAGAAACAGGTGTATAGTCAAGTTTGAAATCCAATCAAATGACAACAGCTGTGAATTTCGTCTGGTCGCACAGTTTTGTGATACACTCATTTTTTGTGACGCGAGATTGCAAAAATGTGTAGACGCGACTCAGGAAAGCGAGGGTTGAGACACAAGTGTCTCCACAGGAACGTTCCCTTAGAGTGGGGCATCCCATCACCCTCGTACAGCATTGTGACCTATCGGCGCGCCATTAGATCCTTGATGTGTGATGCTGCGGAGCAAACGCTAGCGGAGAAGTTGCACAACAAAACTGTGACATTTCCGCCACATGACCGGCTGGCCTTGGGGAATGATCACATCCACACAGTGCAGCCAATATTGGACAGCATATCGGCGGTGAGAAAGATGGCCACTGAACTACGCAGTCAGGGGAGTCGCCTAGCCGACGGAGAAGGCGGCATGGAAGCTATGAAGCTACTGATTGTGAAGACGCATGACATATGCGACACCATGGCCTCTGCGGTGTCAGTGCTACAGTCGCCGGGTGGTTCTGCACTCTTGCCTGATGAGCCCATGGTTGTGGAAAACCGTGGTGAGGTCATCGGAGGTGGCTCTCCGCCCCGGCGGAAGTCCGCGAAGCAGTCTTCACGAAAAAAGCCCGAGGAGATCAAGGGGAGATTCGTGGGTATTACTCAACGGCCCTGGAATGGGCGATGGGTTGCTAGACTAGTTTGCGAAGGGGAGAAAGACGGGCACATCGTCATTGGCAGCCATTTCGGAGATGAGGAAGAAGCCGCGAGATCACTTGCTGCTGGATCACATGTGCTATTTGGGCCGCACAATGGACCCCGTGGGAGAGTGATAGGTCTGTCTGATGAAGGTAAGGACAGGTTGAAGGACTGTCCTAAGGGCGCGTGCCTGGCTATGATCCGAAACAAGTTCTGGCACCGGTGGGAGAACTGGAGAGAGGCCTGGCCGGAATGCCTTTGATGGAGGAACGGAGGGCGGCTGATACGGTGTCGGTATTTCCGGAAGCCTCGTCTCAGTCGCCGTGTCAGTGTAAATCAAAGCGAAGGAGACAAACCCAGGATTAGCCAACGGGTCTTCCACGGTCTGTTTTGTGTGTTGTTTTATTCGTGTGACGCCATTCCATGGGAAACGGTACTCACTATTATTGCCTTGTGGTGTGTTTGTGCTAGACATATGGGGGTCTCCTTGGCTTTGTCAGCATATATTGAACAATGTGGTGTAAAATCGAGCCACGTTGATATCTAACTATGCGTGGGTGCAACCATAGTGTGATAGCGCGTATGGGTAAACAACAATACGAACACACAAATTAATGTGGGGGGTAACATTGATACTTTTTTTTTTACGCATCGGCACATAGCCTTAAAAGCTTTGTCGTGCTATTGTACCCGAGAATCAATCGGCAAGGCTTCAAGGTTTCACTTAAGATTCACTAGCCCCTCATTGACGCATATCGCTGACCAATTTTCCGCACGGAGGTGTGGTTTTAACCAAGTGTACCACCTGGTGCCCACCTAAACATTATTCTGCTGTGGCTATTTACATCTGAGCCCGGTAAATTAGAGGCGTCTGTTTTATGGCAGAGGTCACTTGCCTGTGTGTACTACAGCGATCGACCGTGATGGGTGAATTTGTGCGCAGTTGTCAGGGTGTAGACCGGTTTTTGTTTTGTTTTTTTTAGTGTAGAGTGTAAACCAATTACAAGCTAAACACTTGGTCTTGCTTCAATGACTATTTACTAGCTTTTCACTATCGGTTAGTCGCCAGCCACTGCGTATTCGCTTGAGGCATCACGGGGTATTCGCGGGCTAGCCCTGAGCACATGGGTGGTTGACTTCCAACTGTGCTAGCCAATAGCATGCCATGACTGGGGTTTCACGGGTTGTGGACGGGTGGCCACAAGCACTCCAAACCGGGCACACGCGATATTCTTAATTGCAGTTCACGAGCATTCCACTGGCTTTTCACGCGCCCTGTACTGTAACACAACATCAGGAAACTACGCCAACACACCTGGCGGCGTTACTTGCCACCCACCATCAAACACAACAATCATCTTACGGATTGTTAATGGGCCAGTCGCGAGGGCCTGGTGAACTTCTATACAAAGGGGGGCGTAGATGTGGCTGAGCGATAACGGTGTGTTGACAGCCACCCGTTTGTGTCCATTTGTGTTTGGGCGCAGTGTCTGTTCAATGACCGGGTGTTCTTCGGGTTACTAACCTTGCCACGACTGGCACTCCAAACCAGCCACACGCGCAGCACTGAGTCTGTATACTTCACGGACATTTCACTAGCGTGTCACTAACCCTCGATAGATTTATCCAAGGGGGTATCGATTATGTACAAAATTGTATTGCCAAGGCAAGCGCGAGAAGTTTGACCTTGACGTGAATGTTTGCTCACGGGATTATGACGATGAAGTGACGGCCATTAAATGCCTGGATATGTTTGGATGCTCCAAACAGTTTTGTTACAGTACGTCCTTCGTGTGGATTTTACTTTCGGTTGACGGGCGCCTGATGGTCTACCTCCACGCTTCTGGCTATTGTTCCTCTTATTAATCAGGCTATTACAAGTCGTGAAGCTATGGAAGCAGTATACTAATACTAAATTTTTTGACATAGCCAACGTGTTCCTAAACCCCCCACTATAGTGACTACCATAACCCTTGTGGAAACTACTCTAGCTTGATGACTCTCCACAAATCTCAAATAGTGCCCGCAAAAGGTGCTGACTCGCGATAGGACTTACGGCCCTTTGGGCGCTTACGGTACCTCCTCTTCTCCGGATATGCGCTGCCACCATACTTGCCCATGCAGCGGTTCTTGTTGTGACCGTGCAGATGGCAAACGCTGCACTTGTACGGATGCACAGCCTTCTTGACGCGAGCGTAGCTCGGCGGGCGGCCGGAAGCCGTGCGTCGAAAGGGTGGAGCATCGCATACGCCTGGTGCGGCCAGCTTCCTCCCAAGGACGATGGAGTCCAAACATGAACCCCGCACCGTTGAAGAATACGTCTCTGCCCAGTACTTCGTGGTGTAGAAGTCGGAGACGAGGGTGCGAGGATCATGCTTTCGTGTCACAGCAAAGGCCACGGCATGGGAGCACGGGAACTGGTACTGGTCCCAGTTTAAGCAGTCGCATGTTTTCGCTGCGATGTTGACGTTGAAGGACCTCCATTCCTTGGGATCATCGGTGTCCCTGGTCTGGATGGTTCCTTCCTTAAAGGCAGGGTCTCACGTACTACAAGTGCTTTGCAAATGATGGTGAAAGTGTGGCTTTGATTGGTTGGCGAGGTGTAAGGTTCGAAGTGGGGTGAAGCGAGGGGTGCGAAGCGAACGTAAGTCGCTGGGTGTACCGAACCATCTAGGCTTGGAAACTTGGTTCGGAGCCAAACCTAAAATGCCCCCAACTCATCGAAAGTCTCAAGTACCCAAAAGTGTTGTGCAATTGCTTTTGGGGTAGTGACGCAAGCTGAGTTTCCAAACCAAACAGAGACAACTTCGCCAGCACTAACTTGGTTACCTAGCGTCAAGTGCTTTGCAGTCGATGGCTCCTTAGCTTACATGAGACCCTGGCTTTAAGATCCCCGCCCAATAGCTCGTACCCCTCCGCCCGTGTCTCTTTCTGCACCATCCGATCCTCTGCCGCTTCCGTCAGTAGAGCAGTTCTCTCCCTCGCAGCCATCTTCCGTTCACAATACCTATCGCGATACCAGTCCATGAGACCCCCCGAGGAGAGGGGTGAGCGGCAAGCGACGAATGGGAACGATTGAGCTGTTGACCTGCTCTGCTGCGTTGCGCGTGAAGATCCCGAAGCGTCGGGTTGGGGCCTCAATGCGAGTCTAGTGGACGAGGTTGATGCCCAACTTCTTTCTGGTACCGCGCTTGTTTTGCCTAAACCCGGTCCGTACACGTGTAGTGTGGTCCCCAGCCGCGACACCGGCCTCTCGAGCGTTATCATCGGGGTACTCTTCAGCGGCGGCCTGGTTCCCCTCTGCTGTGGCGGGGTCATCCGCATCCTCTGCCTCGGCCTCTTCTGCATCTGCCTCATCCACGTCGTCCTCCTCAATGTCGGCTTCGAGGTTAACCCGGGGGTTGCCCATACCGACATCTGGCCACCGGGTGATCGAGAGTGACGACGACCAATGCCTGGCAGGTGTTTCCCTCCGGCTGCTACGAGGGGCCCTGGCCCGAGTTTCCACATGATCTTGTTGCACGTTGCGGGTCCGTCCGGATGCTGCTGGGGATGTAACCCGTCCTAATGCGACGCAGGATGCGTGCATAGTCGAATGGTCGCAAAGCTGCAGGAGTCGAGCTTGAGGGACGACTGGGCGGCTCGTTTGTGGCAGGGGACTCGGCCGGCTTAGCCATAGGGGCAGAGGTGCTTTCAGTCGGTGCAGGCCCAGGTTCAGTTGCAGTGGCTCCCGGCCCGCTCGCGTCACCCGCCCCACGCCCATGCGCCCGTGAAGTGGTGGCGCAACCCATGGCGGCACGGGCTGCTTCACGACCCTAGCGGCGGTTCTCGGCTGCTTGTTGACGTGCTTCGGCTGCTGTTGTGGGAGTGGGACGTTGCGGTTCAGGGTTCTCGGCTGCTTGTTGACGTGGCCGGCTTCTCGATGCCGAGGAGATAGTTCGCCATTGGCTCGAAGTCACGGCGGCATGCTGCGACCAAGGCGTCCCATTTGTCGCGGTCCCTGCATTTCACAAGACGCCAGTAGAAAAGAGCAGCAGCCTCACCAAACTTCACAACATTCTGATGGAGATGCCATGCACAAAAGTAGTGAGGTATGCCAAGCGGGAGCACATCCCGTGCAGTAGGAATTAGGCCCTTGTCACGATCGCTGATAATGGACGCATCATCACGGTGTGGCCACTCCGGGAAGCTCTCCATAAAGCATTGCAGGAACCAGGTCCACGAATCCTTGTTCTCTCCTTCGACCAGAGCCCACGCCAGCATCAGAATCTTCTGGTTACCGTCGAGGACCACGGCAATGAGCAGGGTTGCGCGTTGTGCACTGATTAGGAACGTCCCGTCCAGTGCAACAACGGGGCGGCAAAAACCAATTGCATCGCGTGATGCAGACGGCTGAATGTACATGCGGTTGAAACAGTCGTCTACCGTCTGAATCTTGAAGTTTCCAGCCGGATCTATCTCCTTAAACCTTGCAGCCAGCGTCGGCAGCAACCTGAACGACTCCTGCCAATCCCCGTACATCTCCTTCTGGATTGCCTCACGCAGCCGCCACGCCTGCTTGTAACTGATCCGAAACTTGCTGTGGGCCGTGAGAAGCTGCTGCAAGATCTTTGCCGAAATGAATGGTGCGCCACGAACCAGGTTGCCCCATTGCCGCTTCATGACCTTGAGGCTGTTGGCGAGGGCGTTTGCTCCCTGCTCTCGCTTGTATTTGCTGCAGATGTGAGTTTCGGGCGGTGAAACTTCACCAAAAAGTGTCGGTCCGAAATGCAGCCGGCCAGCTAGGTGGTCCACATTGTGTCATTTGACCCCCCAAAAGTGTCCAAAAAGAGTCTTCACCCAAAATTGAAGGGTCTAAAAATGTCCGAAAATTAGCCAAAACGCGAAGTATCCAGAATCTGTCCAAGAAGTCTCCGATTCATGTTACTATGCAGAAGGTCGGGGATCGATGCTTGCCTGGTGCACTATACCGAACACAAAATTGTTAGATTAGGAAAGAAAACGAACACTCCCAATTATAAGTTGCTTTTTACTAGCTAGAATCGATCTCGCGATCTCCCAATCGCACGCGCGATTCGTAACCACTACGCTAACTCGGTTGTAAACCAAGCAAGTTGGTTCAATTAAACTCAAAATCCAATCAAAAACTCCTTCGCAACATGTTGACACCTGTTGCCAGGGTTGCCACCTGTCACACCACCTGCCACACAAACGCCTTCCTGTGCAGGTTAGGCTCGGAAAACATTAGCCACAGCTACCTACACACCTTACCAAACTCATCCCCCAACCACTCTCGACTTGTCCATCCCTTTCAGATCTAGATGCTCCATTTTTTAAACTGAGCTTTTCACTCGAGCATTTCTTGCCCAACATTTGTTCGCACGATCTGTTTTGGTTAGCCTAGCACTACGACTTTTGTAGAACCAATCTAGCTTTGCGGATGTTATACATTTAGGTTTATAAATCCAGTTTCTGCTTTTCTATGCAACAATGTCATGGTGTTCATCGCTTGCTGAGATGTGCGCGGTCCTACGTTTTTTATTCATTCATACAACCAGAATAACGCATTCCATGACGTCGTTTACTTATACCGCTCCTATTTCCAATATCTATCTATCCCCAGTGCAGCATTTGACGGTCTTCTTTTTACGTAACAAGTTATTCAACTTCGGGCGCTGCTAAGGAGCGCTACGGGCACTGCTAAGGAGCGCGATGGGCGCTGCTAAGGAGCGAGACTGACGCTGCTACGGCGGGTGCTGCTAAGAGACGAGATGGGTGCAACTTAAGTGCTCGACGGGCGCTGCTAATGCGGCTGCTGCTTAGAGGCGCGATGAAGAGCGGTAATTACATTGTTTAATTCAATATGAACCTGTGTGTTAACGGTTGCTAATCATCGCTTACCTTCTGATGTTTGTTTCAGTTGCATTTGGTGAAGATTTCCTTCATAGAGGGTGAATGTGTCATCACGCAGGTCGGTTTGTTTGATTCAATGTTGGCATTTTTTGTGGTTACCGACTTATACGTACATACAAGCTTCACGTTGATTTCGCGGTTTTGTTTGTTTCCTCCCCTTTGAAAGTGCTCGCAATCTGAAGGTTTTGTTTAATATTTCACAGCCGCCATTTAGTTCTCTATCACTAAGGTACGCGTCGGGCGCTGCTTTGTCAGGACGCTGCAAAGGGTCGTGACGGGTGCTGCTTACCTGTCAAACATTGCATGTCTATATTATGTAGGCTGTAGTGGGTTACACCTTAGGGGGTACTCAAAGTTAGGGTTTCCTACTTGTACCAAACTCTGTGCTAGTTCATTCCATTCCTGCTCAGTTATTTCTGACATGGTTTCAGAGCAGGTCCTTCGTTAGGACTGTTCTTAGGGCCCACCGACTTACCTACCTGCTTACCTTCGCTTGTTTCCGGCCCCGCTGGCCCCGTCGATCTAGCACGATCTAGCGGCCCTGCGGCCCCGTCGAACTTTTTTTTTCTAGCGGCCTCTCACGACCCCCGTCGCGTCGCCCCTTAGCGCCCCGATCGGCCCCGTCACGCCGCCCGCGAACCGCACAGCGCGCCGCGCTCACAGCCCGCGAACCGCCCACGCACAGCCCGCGAACCGCCTGCGCAGCCCGCGACCAGCCCGCGCAGCCCGCGCACAGCCCGCGAACTGCCCGCGAGCAGCCCGCGACCTGCCCGCGAACCCCCGCGAGCCGCCCGCGACCCGCTTACGCAGCCCGCGAGCAGCCCGCGCAGCCCGCGCTGAGCCTGCGCGGCTCGTGCGCTGACCCTCGCCGGCCCGCACGCTGCCCGCACAGCTCGATACGGCCCGCACGGCCCGCGCGCTGCCTGCTCCCGGCCCGCCGCTGCTGAGCCCGCAGCCGCCCGCGCACCGCCGCTGCTGAGCCCGCCGCCGCCCGCGCACCGCCGCTGCTGCGCCCGCCGCCGCCCGCGTATCACCGCTGCTGAGCCCGCCCCTGCTGCGCCGGCTCTCGCTGCCGCCTGCTGCGCCTGTGCACCACTGCAGATCCTACTACTACACTTCCTGCTACTGCTGCTTGTGCGCCACTACAGTCCGTAGGCCCCACCGGCCCCGCTGACCCTGCGCACGCCTTTTCAGTGACTTTACTGCTTCTACTACTGCCGCTGTCGCTATGGCTAGTCCTCCTGTTCTAGCTTTCGACGCCGAGGGCCGTCCGGTCAAATTCGAAACCTGGCTAGATGACCTGCACCTTTTCCTACAGCTCACTGCCAAGGAAGATATTACACTGTACGACCACGCTCTCGGCCATGCGACCGCCCCACTCGCTACTGCCCCCCCAGCTGAGCGCTCACAGTGGCAGACCCGTGACGCGCACGCTCGCTTTGCTATTCGCAACTCCCTGCCGCTAGATGAGCGCGAGCACTTCGGCCAGTGCAAGACTGCTAAGGACCTCTACACAGCTGTAGTGGCCCGCTACTCCTCACCCGCTTCTGCCACGCTAGGCCGCCTCACTCTCCCCTACCTGTTCCCCGACCTAGCCTCCTTTCACACTGTCGCAGACCTCATCACCCACCTTAAGACTAGTGAGGCTCGCTTTCGCGCTGCCATGCCTGACGAGTTCCTCGCTAGCAACCCCCCCCCGCTCTGGATCACTCTCTACCACGTTGTCACCCGCCTCCCTGACTCTCTGCGCCCTGTCAGGGACCAGTTCCTCTCTCGCTCCCCCACTGAGCTCACCGTAGACCTCCTCGAGAAGGAACTGCTTGCAGCCGAGACTAGTATCGTCGCTGTAGGCACCTCTCGTGGCGACCCCCGCGGCCCCTTCTTCGAGGGGTGCTCCCCTTCCCCCCTCCTCCCCTCTGTCGCCTCTGCTGCTGCTGTCGACCTCCTTGGTGCTGAGAAGGTCGGGGCTGCGTCTGCTTCAGGCGGACGACGCAGGGGCAGGAGTGGCAGGAGTGGGGGTGGTGGCGGAGGAGGCGGGGGTGGAGGTGGTGGCGGTGGAGGTGCGACTGGAGAGGCTAGTGGCGGCAGTGGTGGAGGTGACAGCGGCGTTGGGAGTGGTGACAGGGGCGGAGGTGGCAGCGGAGGCGGAGGTGGTCGTGGCAGCGGCAGGGGTGGAGGTGGCCGGGGCGGAGGCGGAGGGGGTGGTGGTCGTGGAGGCCCGGGGGGCGGTCAGAGTCAGCAGCCTGCCCCGACCCTTCAGGCCGCCCGTGAGTGGTATGCGCGGCGCAGCGTCACCTGCCAGTACGTTATTCGTACAGGTGACCGCACTGGCCAGACGTGTGGGGGGCCGCACCAGACGGAGCGCTGCTTCGCCCGCCTCAACGATGCGTGGCGCACCCAGTTTCCTGGTGGGGGTGAGCTGCCGCGCTGGGCTGAGCTGCTCAGGAAGGGTGTTGATATTTGGGCACTGGACTTTGATGCTATTCTCACTGCCATGTATGCGATGTCTATTAGTGGAGAGGGTGCTCAGTACTTGCGTGTTCCGCCCGACCCGGGCATTCAGGCCAGCCCCGCTGCTGCTCTAGGTGCTAGTGTGTCTGCTTCCACAGGTACTACTGCAGCTGCTGCTCTAGGTGCTTGTGCGTCTGTGCCCCCTGGTACTGAGTCGACTGCAGCACTGCACACCTTCACACTGGACTCAGGTGCTTCTCGCTCTTTCTTTCGTGACCGCACTGTCCTTGAGCCTCTAGCTCGGCCGGTTGCTGTCTCTCTTGCTGACCCCTCTGGGGGTCCGGTCCTTGCGACCTCCTCCACCACCCTTCCGTGTCCAGCGGTTCCGTCCGGCACGCTCTCAGGTCTCTACCTCCCCTCGTTCTCCACGAACTTGGTGGCAGGTAGTGCGCTCCAGGACGGGGGTGTTCACTAGTTCACCCCTGCCTACGAGCGTGTGACTCACTGCACGTGTGCTCGGACGGGCCGCCACCTAGCTACTTTCACTCGAGAGCCGGGGTCTGACCTGTACACACTGACCACTGAGTCCCCTCAGGTAGCTGCGTCTGCGTCAGCGTCAGGTCAGCTGTCCGCCCCCTGCTCGTGTCGCTCTCTGGCGAACGACACCGTCCTCTGGCACCACCGCCTTGGTCACCCGTCTGTGCAGCGCCTGCGGGCCATGCACAAACGGGACCTTGTTGCTGGTCTTCCCAGGGTGCTCCCTCCCCTTCCTGACTCCCCTGCTCCTGACTGCATACCCTGTGTCGAGGGGCGGTAGCGCGCCGCTCCTCACTCCTCCTCCTTTCCCCCGACGACCGCTCCCCTGCAGACGCTCCACATGGACGTGTGGGGCCCAGCCCGCGTCCGTGGTCAGGGTCAGGAGAGGTACTTCCTGATAGTTGTTGACGACTACTCGCGCTACACCACGGTCTTCCCCTTGCGCGCCAAGGGTGACGTCCCTGGTGTTTTGATCCCCTGGATCAGCCGAGCCCGTCTCCAGCTAGGCGAGCGCTTTCACTCGGACTTTCCTGTCCTGCGCTTGCACTCTGACAGAGGTGGTGAGTTTGCCTCCGACCTCTTGGCAGCCTACTGTGCTGAGCACGGCATTGAGCAGTCGTACACGCTTCCGGCCTCTCCACAGCAGAATGGGGTTGCTGAGCGCCGCATTGGCTTAGTCATGGAGGTCGCTCGTACCTCCCTGACCCATGCGGCTGCTCCCCACTTTCTGTGGCCGTTTGCGGTCCGGTACGCTGCGCATC